TCCAGGAGCAGTCATTTGTCATCCGTGCACTGGGCTTCACAGACACCGTGACTGTTCAGGTCCTTCCCCAGTGTGAGTGTCAGTGCCGGGACCAGAGCCGGGACCGCAGCCTCTGCCATGGCAAAGGCTCCTTGGAGTGTGGTGTCTGCAGGTGAGGAGGGTGCTGGTGACACCCCTGCCCCACCCACAGGGCAGCATCTGCAGGGAGGTAGGTGCAGGTGACTCCATCCCACCCCCGCCCACAAGACAGGTGCCTCAGGACCCCATCCTATAGGAGGAGGTGGAGAACTGGGCTTCCGACCCAGAGCCCTCCTCGAGTCCTTGCCCCTGGGTGGGCACCAACAGTGCCCACCTGCACTCCCCATGCTCTGGCCATGGAGGGCCCTCAGCAGGGGTACTGGTGGACCGGAGGCCTCTTGCCAGAGCAGGGAGAGCCATCTCAGGGGTGTAGGGAGCCCCATTGTATATACCTGAGGCAGGTGACTTTCCGTACCCAGCCTCACTTGTCCCTTTCTGTAACTAGGCCCTCACTTGTGGGTCTCTCTCTCTCTCAGGACATCCTCTTCACACCACTGTCCACTCCAGTCCTTGCCTGCTGCCTGCCCAGGGCTGGGCTGCCATTTCCAGTGTCCTCATTCCCCTGTGCCCATTTGCTCAGGAGCCCAGAGCCACAGCCCACCAGGCCAGAGTTGCTGGGCAACCCAGGCACCTGCCCTGTGCCCTGACCACCTTCCACTCATGGCTGCCCTGCCCACCCACACCCTCATCAAGGTGCCCTGCCTGCCCTTCAGGCCCCATGACCCTCCTGTGCCTCCTGCCCCTCAGAACATGGTGGTCTCTGTGTCTGTCCCTGTGCCCTCCTCAGTGGCCCTCTGCTTGCTGTCCTGGTGTGCAGCTCTAGGGTGGCATCCTCAAGGGAGAATGAGGATAATTTAGTTGGAACTGCAGCTGCTGGCAGTGGGGCTCAGATACAGGTCACTGAGACAGTGTGTTCTGGCCTCCCCCCCCCCCGGGGGGGGCGCAGGACAGCCATCACAGGACAGCCTGTGAGGGTCATCTCTTTGGCTGCCTGGGAGTGCACAAGGCAGCTGTGTGCCAGTGGCTTGGGGACTGCTGTCCTTGTCTGACTAGACACCTTGTCCCCGAACCCTCCGGAAACCTGCCTGGGCAGCACTTAAATGCAGGCAGCCTCAGGCAGGAGTGAGGGTGGAGCTGTGGCAGAGGGCAGTGCCAAGTCCCCACCAGCCACCTAGACCCTGGGGCACAAGAGAGCAGACTCTGGCGCCCTCGGAATGCCCGCGTGCCTGGATGGCCTGCCTTCAGGGTCCAGGACACAGCCTCTGCTGTCATGGCCAAGGTCACGCGTCTGCTTCCCTCTCCGGATGTCCTTGGAGGGAGCACGGCTCTCCCCACACGCTTATGGGGCACAGTATGTGCCCAGCAGGCGTTTGAGCAAAGAGCAGGAGCAGTGCGCCACAGCAAGTGCTCTCCAAGGCCGCGGGCCCCCAAAAAGTGGGGCGGCTGTCCTAGGTTAGCGCTGTGGGTAGAGCTCAGACCCCTGCCACCCCCAGGTGCGACGCGGGCTACATCGGGAAAAGCTGTGAGTGCCAGACGCAGGGCCGGAGCAGCCAGGAGCTGGAAGGAAGCTGCCGGAAGGACAACAACTCCATCGTCTGCTCGGGGCTGGGCGACTGCATCTGCGGGCAGTGCGTGTGCCACACCAGCGACGTCCCCAACAAGCAGATCTATGGGCGGTACTGCGAGTGCGACAACGTCAACTGCGAGCGCTACGACGGCCAAGTCTGCGGAGGCCCGAGTGAGCGCGCGCGTCCCGCCCGACGGGGGCGTGGCCGGGAGGCGGGGCAGCCGCGGTCCTTTTCTGCTCGCACCTGATGGGGGCGGGGCTTGTCGCTGTGCACCGGGGCAGCGAATGGGAACAGAAAGAGGGGACGCGAGAGGCAGATAGGCAGACCTTACGGGACTAGCTCAGCTGCTCCGCGGCAGGACCTCGGGCGACCCTCCGCCTGCCCTGCCTCCGTGTCTACGTCCCTAAGACTGGTAGGGAGGGCCCCAGAAGGCGATGGTCCTAGCCCACCCGGGGTCCCACGGGCAGGGGGGCATGTGGAGGCCGGACGGACCAGGAGGCTCCGGGGGAGGGGGAACGTGTCTCAGCACTTTAGTCCACTGTGTGGGGAGGCGGCTGGGTGTGTGGGGACTGCGGGCGGGGTGCAGACAGGCAAGGGGGCAGGGGTGAGCTTCCCACCACTGCCTTCCAGAGAGGGGGCTCTGCTTCTGTGGCACGTGCAGCTGCCAGACCGGCTACGAGGGCTCGGCCTGCCAGTGCCAGAGTTCCACTGACGGCTGCCTTAACCAGTGGGGCAAGGAGTGCAGTGGCCGGGGCCGGTGCCGCTGCAACGCGTGTGAGTGCTACCCGGGCTACCAGCCGCCACTGTGCCAGGAGTGCCAGGGCTGCAACTTCACCTGCAGCAACTACACGTGAGCGTCCAGGGCTCGGGCCCCTCAGGGCCCTCCACCCCACCGTCCCCACCTCGCTCGTACCCCATAGGCACCCCAGCGCCCCACCTGAGCAACCTCTAACGCCATGGCATTCCCCCCACCCCCCGCAGCTTCTGTGCAGAGTGTCTGCAGTTCAACAAGGGCCCCTTCGAGAAGAACTGCAGCGCAGCGTGCAGGGGGTTACAGCTGCAGAAGGAGCCCCTGAGCTGGAGAAGGTGCAAGGAGCAGGACTCGGAGGGCTGCTGGATGACCTACACGATGAAGCAGCTCGACGGGTGGGAACAGTACCACATCCACGTGGAGAAAACACGAGGTGAGGCTGCAGCCTCCAGCCCAGGGCAGGGGCCTGGCAGACTTGAGGATGCTACAGGTGGAGCGTCTCCCTCCCAGGGCCCAGGCAGGCCCAGCCTGCTGGAGTGTCCTCCTGCCGCTGACCCCACGTCCCCTCCTTTCCTCACTACTTGACCTGGAATGGGGGCTGAGACAGTGCCATTCCACTATGCACAGGTCCCAGGGTCCCAGGGCTGGTGACATCCCCCACCAGTGCTCAGATCCCAGCCCTGGAGAGGCTGAGGTGGGCTGGGCACTGCTGTCTCCCAAATGCTGCATGTAGCTCTGGTCTGAACCACATCCTGCCACACCAAGGCATAGTGGGGAGGGGTCCCAAGGTTGGAGGTCTCTGGAAGGGAAATGGGAGAGCATCCAGAGGGGACCAGGAGGGTGTGTGGGTGGAGGCTGTGAGCACCAGGTCACCATGGGGCCCTGTGAGTCCCAGGAGGGGTTCAGGTCTGTTCCTGAACCCACCAGGAAGCCACTAGCTGGTTCTCAGAATTAGAGTGAGGCATCTGAGTGGTGCTGGGTGGACACAGACTTGTCAGGGCTGCTGAGTCCAGGAACCACAGCAGCCGGGGTGGAGGGGCTGGGGATGTGGCATGCTGACAGAGCTTGCCCTTGGAGGACACATAGGGGAGGAGGATTGGACAGATGGAGTCAGGGGTCTAGAGCTAGTGGGGGAGTGGGAAGGGGAGATGTCCGGGGGGCCATCAGATGATGATGATAAACCGTTCAGGGACACTGAGACATGAACTAAGTAGACACACAATGAGATGGGCTTGCAGGGTCTTAAACATGCAATCCCCAGATGCTGAGCACCCCCCCATTCCCACTCAGAGGCTGGGGGCCAGGGCTGGGGCTAGGGGGACCACTCTGGGGACTCTCATCGGTCACAGGCCAGCAGCCTGCCAGGTCTGTTGGGTTTTTTTGGGGGGAGGGGGGTTTGAGACAGAGTCCGCTCTGTCACCCTAGGTAGAGTTCCATGGCAGAGCTGGGGGAGACCAGACACAGTCGCCACAGGTGCCAGGACCCTGCCCTGTTCATCCTGAGGCTGCCTCACCTGCCCCGGTGCAGGGCCCTGCCTCCTGCCATTGGTTACCAAGGGGCACCTTCCCCAGGGGCAAACTGGAGCAGAGACCCTTCTAGTCCAATCCTAACCACTGGGGGAAGAAGGCAGGGGTCCCTCAGGCACTGTTTCCTACCCAAATATGAATACTCTGCCCTGGTTGACTGGTGACCTGATGTCCTTTCTTTCTTTTTTCTTTTTCTTTTTTTTTTTTTGAGACAAAGTCTCACTATGTTGCCTCCAGTAGAGTGCTGTGACGTCACAGCTAACAGCAACCTCAAACTCTTGGACTTAAGCAATTCTCCTGCCTTAATGTCCCAAGTAGCTGGGACTACAGGCACCCACCACAACACCTTGCTAATTTTTGGTTGTAGTTGTCATTGTTGTCGGCAGGCCCAGGCTGGCTCTAGCCTAGCCACTGAGCTATAGGCGCCAAGCCTGGGCATCCTTTCTTCTCTGTGTCAGATGGAACCACAGGGCTTGGCTTTATTTCCAGTGGGGGCAGGGTCTCACCAACACACAGGGTGGTGATTGACAGTGACCCAGGCAGTAGACCCTCTGTCCAACATGCTATGCAGTGACCACGGACCTGAGGGCACACATGGGCCAGGTGAGACAGGGAGGGAATGACACGCTGGTGTGTGTGTTTCCTCCCTAGAATGTGTGGAGGGCCCCAACATTGCTGCCATCATAGGGGGCACCGTGGCGGGGGTTGTGCTCATCGGTGTCCTGCTGCTGGTCATCTGGAAGGCCCTGACCCACCTGAGTGATCTCCGGGAGTATAAGCGCTTTGAGAAGGAGAAACTCAAGTCCCAGTGGAACAACGTAAGTGGCTGTGCTTGGGGGTCCTGCATGGAGGGGGCACCACCCACGCTCCGACCGCTTGCTCCCCGGGTGTGGTCATCTATGTGTGGCCAAACACTGGCCTTCCCCAGCAGCTTGTCCATGTGACACTGCCGTGAGTGAGTCTGGCCACAGCAACGGGAAGCAGGTTGGCCGCCCCACTCCGGCTCTACCTGGAAACAACAGCTTCCACCTTGACCCAGTGGCCTCGGGGAGAAGGAGCCTGCTCTGAAACCTCCCACCAACAAGCCCATGTTTGCCTTTCTCACCAGGATAACCCCCTTTTCAAGAGTGCCACCACGACAGTCATGAACCCTAAGTTTGCCGAGAGTTAGGAGCCAGTCAGCAGGACCTCCACCACCACATCTCCCCCGTCACACAACCAAGACGCTTACAGCTGTAGACGGCAGCACCAATTAACCAAAAATCCACTGCTTTTTCTGTCTCAACCTGACAGATAAAGGCAGGTATTTATATGGACCCCCCTCCCAGGAGGAGCAGCCTCCCCTTCTGACATACACAGATCTTTCCACAAGAGGGGGGTGGGGGTGGGGCAGGGAGGTTTGCTAAGTCTTAGGAGGCTGGACTGAGGGTTTCCTGTGTGCGAGTTAGGAGAGTGGACTGGTTAAAAGTGGCGCCAGTTTGTTTATATTTAAACATATCAGAGTATAAAACAAAATTGATTATATTATTAACCAATCATGTGCATGGAAAAACAAAATAAAACCTCAGTGCAAGCTGTCCACCGAGGCTGGTCTCTAACCTTAATGCACTAGGCAGCTACCTTAGCTGCCCACTGCCCTTTCCCATACAAGGATGTGGACAACCTGCAGACAGTAGGGCTGCAGAATCCTCATGGGACAGGGTTCTATTTCTTTTTTCCTTCCTCACCTGTTGGGCCATGCCTGCAGAGCCCCTCTCTGAGCCCTCAGTCCCAAATCCTAGGTGCATTTTCAGAAGCAATGTGGCAGCCCCACCAGAGGGGGGCCTGCTGGCCAGAACAGAAGCAAACAGAGAAATAGGCATTCTCTCTGCTGTCAGGTGTGGGCCTGCTCCTGGGACAATGGTGATAAAAAGAGTCATAAAGAAGCTCATTTCTCATGGGTTGTTTTTTGGGGAGACTTGGAAGTCATCCTTGGTCCCATATCACACAAGTGCACAAGCCCAAGTCATGTGTGATTATGGCATATGGAGGTATCTGAGAGTGGCAGACCAGATGGGTAAATGCCCATATGAGGCCCAGAGCCCCTCAAAGCCCTGGGGTTGAGACCCAGGGTCAAAGTCTTCTGTAGCATATCCAAGCCAACCTGGAGCTGCTGGTTATGGCAGCTCTTAGTGAGCTCAGCTCCTACTGGAGTTTTGCCTTAGCCTTTGTATGCCTCCCTGGTGTGCCTGTTGGTTCTGTGTTTCTGTTTATTCTTCACCTGGTTACTGTCCACAGTTGGGACTAGTCAGTCACTCTAAGCCTGGAGTCCTCAGACCTCCTATTGGGGGTGCTCAGAGGGGAGGGAGGTGTGTGAACAACCCTAGGCTTTGCTGAAGCAACTCACAGTCCCAGAGGGAATTCACTACTGAGCCCTCGGTCTAGGCAAACTGCACCCCTGTCCATCCTGGGCACCACTGCAGACCTGTAAGTGGGCACAGGTGGGAGGTGTCTTCTCTGGGTTCCTTGCTTTTATTGTTGTGTGAGAATCTCCTGTGGTGCCTGACTGGGACCTGCCACCTGGGCAGGTAGGAGGAATTAGAAATGGCCAGATGCTCTGGGGTGTCCACACTAGTGATGTGTCCCAACTCAGGGGCCCTTAACATAGACTGTGCCTGGGGTGATGTGCACAGTGGTGGGTGAGACCCACTGCCCTGGATATGCCCCATTCTCCATGGCTAGTGTGGAGATGCTGGGTCGGCTCATCTGAGCACTTGTTAGATATGCACATCCTCAGCCTGGCCCAGGCCTGCTCAGTCAAGGTGTACTGGTGGGCTTAACAATCGACTTCAGCTCAGCGCCTGTGGCTGCCACATACACCTGAGCTGGTGGGTTCAAATCCAGCCCGGGCCCCGCCAAATAACAATGACAGCTGCAACCAAAAAATAGCCGGGTTGTGGCGAGCACCTGTAGTCCCAGCTACTCGGAAGGTAGAAGCAGCAGAATCACTTGAGCCCAGGAGTTGGAGGTTGCTGTGAGCTATAAGGCTGCAGCACTCTACCCAGGGAAACAGCTTGAGACTCTGCCTCAAAAAAAAAAAAAAATCCCACTTCCATGGGTCTTCCATGTGATTTGAGTCACACTGAGGTTTAAGAACCACCAGACAAAGCTGGAAGATGAAGGTCTCACTGTCAAGGTGAAGGTGTAGACTGGGGCAGGCAATATGGGCTGTGTGTGCCAGGTGGCAGTGTCTCCTCAGGGGGGAGGGCAGAGGGTCAACCCAGGTAAGGCTTCCTAAGCAGACAGAGGGCGTCATGTCCATCTCTGCCAAATGCCAGCCATGCATGCTTTGAGTCAGGGTCCATCTCTGCCAGGGAAGCTTGTGATGAGGGCCAGGCCTGACCTCCAGAAGAGACAAGACAAATGGTAAAGTCAGTTGCTTTCGACCCAGTTTGTGTGTGTGTATGTGTTTCTTTACATTTTCCTACTAGTTTTCAGAGGATTTGAAAGGTTGATACAGAAAGTGCTTTGAGAATGGTTACTACTTGCAAAGGACTGTGATTTTTGTCAATCTAATTCCTTAACTATCTTTCTTCTTGGAAAGATATATATACTTTTAATTACAGACTAAGTAATCATTCTGTTTGTCTGAAAAATCACTATAATTTGTTCTTCCTATACACTGTGTCACTTGGGTCATTTCTGTGAACTTGGAGATCTTTGACAATTAAAATATGTCTGTGAACTCCAGATGTGCTAAGCTGCAAAATGCTCCCCTCCTCCTTTTAAATTTCAACTTCACTGTGGAATTTAGGCTATAATTACCTAGATTTTTTTAACTTCTGCATTGCAGAATTGTCCCCAAATTCAGCTGTCATTTTAAAATGCCATTGCTGAGGTTCAGCGCCCATAGCACAGTGGTTATGGTGTCAGCCACATACACCAAGGCTGGAGGGTTCAAACTCGGCCCTGGCCAGCTAAAATAACAATGACAACTGCAACAAAAAATCTGGGCATTGGCTCGGCGCCTGTGGCTGAAGCGGCTAAGGCGCCAGCCACATACACCTAAGGTGGTGGATTCGAATCCTGCCCAGACCCGCCAAACAACAATAATGGCTGCAACCAAAAAAATAACCGGGCGTTGTGGCGGGCGCTTGTGGTCCCAGCTACTTGGGAAGCTGAGGCAGGAGACTCATTTGAGCCCAGAAGTTGGAGGTTGCTGTGAGCAGTGAAGCCATGGCACTCTACCCAGGGGCTCAGCTTGAGGCTCTGTCTCAAAAAAAAAAATCTGGGCATTGTGGTGGGCACCTGTAGTCCCAGCTACTTGGGCGGCTGAGGCAAGAAAATTGCTTAAGCCCAAGAGCTAGAGGTTGCTATGAGGTGTGACGCCATAGCACTCTACCAAGGATGACATAATGAGACTCTGTCTCAAAAAAAATGCCATTGCTGATGGCATTGTTTAAAACGTGGTAGTAGGGACTGGGAGTGGTGCTCTTGCCTATAATCCTAACACTCTGGGAGGCTGAGGTGAGTGGATTGCCTGAGCTCAGAAGTTAGAGACTAGCCTGAGCAATAGCAAGACCCATCTCTAAAAATAGCTCGGCATTATGGTCAGTGTCTGTAGTCTCAGCTACTGGAGAGGTACCGTGTTTCCCCGAAAATAAGACCTACCCAAAGAATAAGCCCTAGCAGGATTTCTATGCATTTGTTAAACATAAGCCTTACCCTGATAATAAGACCTAGTGATGTAAGGTAAGCCTTACACTGATAATAAGTCCTAGATACACTGCATAGCCACGCCCTGCATTTCAGTGCTAAGCAGTAAGGAAAACTGGAATACCTTTTATCTGCCACAGCTCCTTTCTCCCAGCCCTTAGCACTTGAGCAGGTGTGTGGGTGGTAACCGCGGTAGCAGGCATCCTATAGCACACGGGGCGAACCGTCAGGGGAAAGGAGTTCACACATCACTAGCGCCAGCCCCACCAACAAGGTCGGCTCCCCCTGTCAGGTTCCAGAAGAAGATGACTAAACTGTATTTGAATAAATGTAGATTGTTGTATTATACTTAATACAAAATAAGACATCCCCTGAAAATAAGCCCTAGTGTGTCTTCTTGAGAAAAAGTAAATATAAGACAGTGTCTTATTTTGGGGGAAACATGGTAGAAACAAGAGAATCACTTGAGCCCAAGAGTTTGAGGTTGCTGTGAACGATGACACCATGGCACTCTACCAAGGCCATCAAAGTGAGACTGTCTCAAAAAATAAATAAAATTTTTTTAAAAAGTGGTAGCATTCTGAGTCTTCGTGAGTTGTTAATGCTTACAAATACCTAATGTCTTTCAATTACCATTAAATTAGCATTATGTGGTTGCATTGTTAGGATTAAAGAAAAATGTTTCAGGGGGTAATTCTAAGCCCAGGCTTGTATTTACTGTTTCTGCAAATGGACTTTTAAACATCTTTTTATATAATAGAAGATCTCAATGAAGATGTAAAGTATTTTAATTGGAAGGTATGGGTCAGAGACACAGTTTATGGCCATTAAGGGCCCTCTGTAGCTGCACATGGATAGGAATGAACTTTATCACTTTATAATGAGCCAGAGCAAAACAGAAGACATGCTGGTTAAGCATTTGCCAAGTACACAAATACACCAACAACCTGTTGTCTTGTGTGCAGCGGGCTTGTGCATAGGATTCTGGTAAACCATTCCTAACAGAGCTGAGGAGACCTGCCTAGCACTGTGGGGTGTGTTAGCTTGGGCTGTCCTAATGGGGAAGAACAGGAAAGTTAACATGGGGCCAGGACAGACCATCCACTAGTGAGTTCTGTGTGCAATCACATGACCTGCTTTGCTTCCTCAACTGTGAGATGGGCTGTGGGGAGTGAAGCCTATTGGGGCCATATGACTTGATTGAGGTCAGAAAGGTTGGGCTGGTGGAGTTGGGCTTTGAGCCCAGTCTATGGGCTTTGCAGATCCTGAGGAGCCGTTCTTCTGGCCCTGTGACCTTGGGCAGTCCATACCCTTGGGTCTGGCTTTCCATAACTGTAGTATTGGGGCTGGTTGAGGTGATGAACAAAGCAGGAATACACAATGGCCCCCAGTGCCCCTCGCCAGAGACTTCACTAATGCTTTCCCCACTGGCCTTGGAGTTGAGGGCAGGTTAAATCCAACCCACTTTGAAGCCCTATTAGAGAAAGGAAGTAGGGACGACTTAGGGGCCACATGGCTGAACCACAGCATGCTGGAACAGAGGGAGGGGTGCACAACTCACTGCCACACTGCCCCAGTGCTCACCCAAGGTAGGTGTGCAGCAGCAACAGAGCGTGACCCAGTAAATTGTGCCAAGGCACTGCAGAGCAGAGGTGGCAGACACTTCACATTTGGTAAGTATCCCACCCATGGCAGACATCACTAGTCGATCCAACCACTGCTCCTACTGAGCCAAGACAGTCTAGACAGCCACAAATGATGGATCAGAGTAAGCACAGGAGATGATTCTTATTCTCAAACAATCCCTAAATCTACTAAACAATTCCCAAATCTTCACTCTACTACTTAATTATGGCTATGGAAAGCTTTTCTTGAAAAGAAAGCACTTAGACTCCTGTGTCAACCTAAAATACTCAAGAGGTTCAGAATCTAAAAGTAAGTTTATTCAAGTGCAAAATTTGAGGATGGCCCATCTGGAAACACCAACTCCTAAGGAATTGGCGTTCTTAGAAACAGCATTTCTAAGTAGGGAAGTTGAGGTTTCATCACCCAGGCAGAGACACAGTTTTCGTGGGATTACCGTTTTTCCCATACAATGCTGGCACAGTTACAGCAATTTAGTTACAGGCTACCGTTTCTTCTTGGGAATGGCAAGTTTGGCGTTCTTTTTTTTTTTTTTT